ATGACTAAGGCCTCCGGGCTGGGTGGTCGCTTGTTTAGTACACCCCTTGGGATGGGAAGGCTGACCCCCTATTTCGAACATCCCTCGGATTGGGTGGGCAAGTGCGAAGACATGGATAGCTCGAGCAGACCTCGGAGGCAGGTCGATGATTTCTATTCGGTTCTGTTTGATCTGGTATTATTGTATATTTGTTCCTAACCCAGTGGAAGGTTGAGAGAAAACAAAATCCACCATGACTAAGGCCTCCGGGCGGGTGATCGATCCTAGTGTTGGGTCGTGAAGACACGGATAGTTCGAGCAGACCTCGGAGGCAGGTCGATGATTTCTATTCAGTTTTGTTTAATCTGGTATTATTGTATATTTGTTCCTAACCCAGTGGCAGATTGAGGGAAGCTAAAATCCACCATGACTAAGGCCTCCAGGCTGGGTGGTCGATCCTAGTGTTGGGTCGTGAAGACGGATAGTTCGAGCAGACCTCGGAGGCAGGTCGATGATTTCTTCTTGATTATATTTGGTTTGTTATCATTATATATTTGTTCCTAACCTAGTGGCAGGTTGAGAGAAGATAAAATCCACCAGGACTAAGGCCTCCGGGCAGGGTGGTCGATCCTAGTGTTGGGTCGTGAAGACATGGATAGCTCCAGCGGACCTCGGAGGCAGGTCGATGATTTCTTCTTGGTTATATTTGGTTTGTTATCATTGTACATTTGTTCCTAACCCAGTGGCAGATTGAGGGAAGACAAAATCCACCATGACTAAGGCCTCCGGGCTGGGTGGTCGATCCTAGTGTTGGGTCGTCAAGACATGGAGCCTATTGGAGACCTCAGTGGCAGTTCGATCAAACTCGCTATGGATAGATCGAGCAGGTTAACGGATTTATTTGATTTGGTTTTGTGCTATTTGTGCCTCTGACCTCAGTGGCAGGTCGATCGAACTCGCTACGGATAGCTCGAGCAGACCTAAGTGGCAGGTCGATGATTTTTACTTGGTTCTGTTTGATCTAGTATTATTGCATATATGTCCTTAACCTCAGTGGCAGGTCGAGATGGAGCTCATTACAGATAGCTCGAGCAGGTTAATGGTTTTATTCGATTTGATTTCGTGGTATTTGATGTTTTCGATCTCAGTGACAGGTCGACGATTTATTTGACTCTGGTTTCGTCAAATTGATTTTTCGACTTAAAGGGGAGGTAGTATATTCATTTTTGCTCGAGCAGCTTGTGGAGGATTCTAGTTTTACCAAAATTATTTTTTGACCCCAGTGGCGGGTCAGGTATATTCATTTTTGCTCGAGCAGGTTGTTTGTTGATTGTGGTTCTGTCGAATTCATTTTTCGACCCCAGTGGCGGGTCAGTTATATTCATTTTTGCTCGTACAGGTTGTTTGTTGATTCTGGCTTGTCGAATTCATGTTTCGATCCTAGTGGTGGGTCAGGTATATTCATTTTTTGCTCGAGCAGCTTGAATTTTAAATTTTGAACTGAGGGGCGATAGGAAGGGGTGGTCTAAGAGAGCTCAGGACAGGATGATCGAAACACAACAGGCATAAGTTCAAATTTTCAAATTCAAGATTCCAGGGAGTGGTCATTCAGTTCTCGATTTTCGACCTCAGCGGTCTCGGTCCTCGATTTTCGACCTCAGCG